TATCCATAAGATATATGTTAATGCCAAGTATCCATGCCCACTTCCTTTTATTTTGACCCTCTCTTAAGAACTTCGAAGAATGCTAGTTAACCATCACGGTCCATCCTCCTTGGTGCCAAGGCCTAGCAATGACTTTCTTTATAACCACAGGCATTTGTAAATGAACCCAATTCACTCTCCTTCTGATCATTAAGGAAATATGAATACATCCTTCTTAATTGGCAGGAATGCCTGGAAGTACTCATACTCCAGTCACAGAAAGGTGTAAACAGCCAAGCCGCTAGATGCTTAACTCTTGATAACTTGTGACAATGGAGTCTACATATTTTGATAAGGTCTCACTGGTATGCCAAGCATTTGCCCCAAATCATTTTATGATTTCTGCAATATACAGAATTTTGTCATTTTTACAAAGCCACAACAAGTAACAGATCATCCAAACAGACATGAGACGACTGGGTAATGAAAAGAACAATAGGAGTCAGTAAGTGGGAATGAGACTAAAGTTGATTTTGCCCTCCTCATTTCTCTCTCACCTTCCACCCCACAAATCTTAGAATTTTAGTGTATGTGTGCCCATACTCAGATGTATTCCTCTTCCCTCCCAAATTGGCTTATCTGTCCCATATGTCTTAATCGAGTTAGCACACCACATGAAGATCATTCAATAGATCTAATGCTCTCCATTGAATCTTATTTTATCAAGACTATTTGCCGTAAGCATTAGGCACTGCCTACTCAGATCTTTTATACTGATATCCAGGCCTCCCACCAATGGCCCAGGGAAGTCCTGTTTGGTGTAAAAAATCATGGTGGCCCCATTCCCCTTGTTGGAGATTGTGTCAAACCAGTAAGATGTGATGGGAAGTCTGGAGAACTTCTGGGAAAAATATCATCAGAGCCCTTAAAAAGAGAAGCAAAGAAAAAACAATGCTTTTACTGCCTCTGGACAACCACAAATGTGCAAGGATGCAACACAACATCTTATGACACTGACCTAGACAGCACAGTGATGCTGGCTGTGAGCAACACCATAGAAATAACCTGAGTACTTCATGAGCCAAGAAATTAACCAACCCTTAGGGCTGATTCTGTGTAATGAGAAACAGATTCCTTTATTGTTTAAGCCATTTTGAATTGGATTTTCTGTTTCTTACAGCCCAGAGCATCCTAAAGGATACAATACCTCTTTGTGGAAGCAAGAAAAGGGCTCTACCACTTTCACAACATCCTAGCAACAAAGGAATAGTTACTTCAAAAAAAGAAGAGACTAAGATTGATTTCTCAATAAGTGTTTTGGGAAAACCAGCTGTGAAAAGGTATTTTTAATAGCCACTCCTGATGTATGGAGAGTCCTTTGAAATCCTCCCAATGCAGCATAAACACTGTAATAAAATGATGATGAGTCACTATGAATGGTATGTGTGGGGATATGCAACATACTTGGAGTCATAATATGTAAACATTAGGAAACTACCATGAAATTTGTCTTTATTATTCATCTACTCTTATTTCTTTCTACAATTATAATATTGGGAATTTTTTGTCTTCTCCACTCCTTTTACCTGATGAAAACGCAGAATGCAGAATCACATGATTAGAAGGGAACTCAGAAAACTGAGGTTGAGAGAGGTTGACTAATTTCCACAAGATCCCGGAGCTAGCTGGGGACCATTTTATTATTAAAAATGCTTTATGCAAAATAAAAAAAAATGTTTTATGCATGATTTTAAAACAAAACCATTTGCTGAACACTCAATTTAATGCAAAGTCAAACTATAAGGATATGGGAAATCAAAACTGGATTTTTTTTTTGATTATGAAATCTCCTTTTTGAATTCACTGCTTTGAGCTTCTTTGTCCTACTTCTATTACCTTCCTAAATCCCAATCCTTTCCACTCAAAATCATTTCTCTCTCCTAGAAAATCCCTGCATATGGCCCATTCTCTTGACCAGTTCTCAAAAGACTTTGCATCATAATTACCTGGGAAATAAACCAGACATGCAGATTCCCAAGGAGAGGCCAATTTAGTAGAGCAGGGGTGGGGTCCCCCAATATTAATTGTAAACAAACATCCCAGGTGAGTCTAGCTGTGCTTTGAGGCACATGACTCCAGATTGTATACTAGATTCCAGGATCCAAATAGAAAACATCTAATTATTATAGTAGATTTAAGCTGGAACAACAAAAATATGTGCATAGTTGCCTATAATTTTTATGTTCCCTCGGAGGTCTGAAACAAACCCAAGAGCTCTGTGATTTGGATGCACCCTGGTAATCATTTGCTTGGAGGCTTTGAGATTTTAGCCTTTTCCTCTAAGACCGTTTTCCCTCTGAATGCATTTCTACTTGGGATTAAATATAAAATGTCTTAACTCTCTCTCCACAGCTAAAAGAAATCAATTTTAGAAAGTGTTTCAAAAGAGCACTTTAAAAATTGCACAATACAAAGTATCTTCTCTTTGAACCAGACGATAGAGATGCACAGGGCATACAGGATAGGTAATGAGAGCAGTGAACATGGGTTTTCCAGCAGATCTAGCCCTGAAATCAAAACTTAGGAAGGAAGTTGACCATTAAGTAAGTGGACCAGAGGAACAATAGCTCAGGCGTATCAGAGAGTAAATCTGAAACTGAGAAAACTGGAATCAGACAAACCCCTTATCCCAAGTTAACCATCCCTTCCTGGTCAATTTTAAAATAGGACAGTGCTGTAAATGAGAATATAGCATTTAAATGGAACCTTAGAACTCCTCTGGGTGCCAAAGCATTTTTTCAGAACTAAATAAATACTCCTTACTGGAATGAGCAATGCTCATTTATACCCATCTCCTCCAAGACACTTTTAATTCCGATCTTCTGAGACCAAGAACACAGCCTACTGAGAATTTAAGTCTGTGTGTTATAACATCGGCTCTGACCAAGTCACCCCTAGATTCCTTAAGGATTAAATGAACAAAGAAATGCCACATAACCTCATAGAATCAAAGAAAATTATTGTGATTGTGAATCAAAGACAAGACATAATGCTCCATAAATGCTATACTATAAGCATACCATAAGTAACTCAGCAACAAAGTTGATTTAAATTTGTTAGAAGGCAAAAAGTCAAGGTCACAGCTGTCACTTGCATATTCCAGTTGTACTCCTCGTTAGGTTAGGGACAAAGATGAACTGAATTTAATGGGGTTTGGAACACAGGTGGACAAGAGGGAGAAAATGAACCATCCCCCAAGAGATAAACAGGCTCAAGTGTTTAAGATCTACCTTAACAGTTTTCGATGTTTTTTTAAAATCTTTTTCTCCCCCCTTTTAAGATTCCTAACAATCTCAGGGCACTTTACAAATGGGAAGATGCAGTAGTGAGTCCGCTGGATCACCGTTTACTCTTGGTCATGCTCAGTCCAGTTAAGCTCTCATCACAATTTCACATATTGGAAAGCCCACTGCTCTCAGCTAGTTCCGAGGCCTTCTCCTCCAGCTGCTCCCAGGAGGCTCAAAGCCTAGTGGCCATAACAGAGCAGCCATCGAGCATCTCCACACACACTTGGCCGGAGTATGTACCCAGAACTTCCTCTGTTTCAGTAAAGGCCCTTCAAATGTGCAAAGTTTTGTAACTAAGATCTAAACCAGCTTTTCTATTGAACAAATGCCGGACTGAGTTGTGTGGAATCGGCACCAAACTGTCATCTCAGAGCATCTGGAGTCACTTTTTTAACCCAGTTCTCATTATTTTAAACACACTTCATCAGGATTCTTTGACATTTTTTGGGCATTCCCCTTGTAAGCTTGCATGTTCTCTGCTATGCTTAATTGTTTCTGAACATGCAGTCCCAATACCGCATGGCAAGAAAGACATTTGACCAATAACAGAGCAATCCTTGACTCTGCCTAATTGCTTCTGACCAACATGCTAAACACACTTGCTTCTTCATAATTAAGATCTGTGGAAATCTTTATGGTAACACATATACTCTCTCTCCACAAGGCAGTATCAACATGCTTGGTAGAAATATGAAAACAAACCATCATAACCTTCCTCAGCTGACTATCAACTTATCCCAAAGAAATGACTTAATGGCGTGAGCCAAGTGTGGGTAAGGACCAAATGCATAACACATCAATCAGTTCCATAGAACGTACGGCTTAACGGTTTAAGTTAACTGTTACATTCTGTCCTTTTTTTATACTCCAGTCTCCAATCAAGAACATTCATCCAAGTCAATGGAAGGTTAGAAGGTACATATATGTAGTCACTGACACAGCAAGGGAAGTCAGGAAGGCCATTCCCAAAACGGTCCAGCAATAGTAAATAAACAAAAATTCAAAACCATTCCAAGAGTAAATATTCTTTGCAGGACAATCAGGCCCCATGCTGAATGCCTTGCTTATCTCAGAGGGCAAGCAGGCATTTGTCAAAGATAGTTTCTTTATTCCCTAGGCTTTAACACAGGTAACTTTTAAAAGCATTGACACTGTAGATAAATAAAGGGGCCCCTACTATCCAAATCTGACTGATGAAGAAATTAAGGTCCATGGCTTGTCCAGGGCTCACTGAGTGGCTTGTTAAGAACACAGTCAACTCTAGAACCCAGGCCTCTTTCCTACAAATCCCAGGTCTGTAAACCCACAACATATTCCTATTTGTCTCTGATCATCAAAAGAACACACAACTCCTGAAAACTGGGCTTAGTGACCTGGTTATCAAGGAGGACATATTCCTGTTTGCCCTTGGTCATCACAAGAGCAAAAGCCCCCTGAAATCTCTGCCAGGTGGCCTGGTATCTTGGGCGCTTCCCCAGCCTCCTCTGTAAGGAGTGTGGCATTTACTGCTGTTACCCACTGCAGTTAACATTTCACACATTTCTTTCCTAAGCCTCCAGCACTCCTGATGCAATAGTGGGAGAGGGAAACCTGAGCAGAACCGAGACCAGCTTTAATGCTAAGACATGAACTTTCCAGGAGTGAGAAGAGGGTAGCATTCAGTCTTAAACCTACTTTGCCAAGTGGTTCATAAGCAGCTGTAACATCTGCCTATTTTTCTCTGGGAGCCGATGAACAAGGCTGTGGATTTCAGAGACCCGAGACTCCTGGTTTTCCAACTCTGCAAAGGAAGGAAGAAGGTAATATTTGATCAGTGTCACAGCCAAATCAGATTACAAAACAAAATCAAAGGAAACCAAAGGTTGGGCACTAACAGAGGATTTCTCAAAGGTTTAAGAGCCTGTTCTATGGACTCCTGGCTAGATCTAGAAGTGTTTTAAATGGTACTTTCTGTAACAGTTCATTAAAAAAAATGACTGTCAAAAAATTCAAGCCAAAATGATGACGGGAAGAAATGGAGCCAGTCAACTGCACGCTCAGAGCAGACAGAAACTTGGGAGCAGCCGGCTTCCTAGAACAACGGTTTCATTTCAAGGAAGGAAGGAACTTTATGGGCACTTATCAAATGATAAACAAATTGTACATGAACAACCTTACAAGGGTCTCAAATATCAAAACAACGTCTCAAGACAGCATCCAACAAATCAAAGGCAATGTCCAGTCATTCTCAAATCATGTGACACCCAACCAGCCTGGCGGAAGAAAGAAATGGCTGATAAAATATGTAAATCTTTCCGCCCACCTGCCACCTCAATCAAACCCTGCCATGGCTTGGTTGAATTTGGGTAAGTGGCTTCACTTTCCTGGGAGATAGACTGAGAGTGCTCACCACACCTATTTTTAGGACTGATGTGAGGTTTAATTAGAGAATGGTTGCTATGGGTTTGGAATTTCTCTGAGAAAGAAATCACATAAACACGATCTTCACTCCCAGCTTTCTCTCAAGTCTTTCTCCTTCCTCTTTTAAGGAGACAACTCTGAGAAGATAAGGCCACCAGAACATTAGGTACTACTAAATTGGGCCAGTAGTAGCTACCAGGACAAACAAACTTTGAAGGCTTAAAGGAAGCAGGGAGAGGCACAGAGACTATTGACATAATAGCACTGTGGAGATTCATGCCAGATTTAAATCTGATAGAGAATCTTACTGCCCCTTACAGGAGGCCTACCCCACGTAGACAGATTCCAGTATACTTAGGGTAGCTTGCACCTCAATCCCTATGTATTTTAATACCAGTAATATGACGCAAGGGACCTGGATGATATAGCTGAAGAATGATCATAAGCTGTAAATGGAAGCCATGATGGAAAGAGGGCTAGGAAGTTATATAAATGGTGTCACATTCAAGGAAACACTTCCAATGCTCAATTTAGGTAATGTGCAAAGTCTGATTCATTCTGCAAAATGCTACTCCAGGGCTGGGAAAAAACCCAAGGAATTAGAACTCCAATAATCAGAATTAGAAAGGCAAACTTGCTTTTCTTTCCTCCCCCCACCCCAAAAACACACTTCTGAAGTTTTTCTCTTCTACTGTAAATTCAATATGGCAGCAGGGCCTTTGACAATTCCAGTTTGGTTTCGTTTCTATTTTGTGTCCATTTCGTGAGCACTTGTGTAGGTATTTACATGCAAAATACAAAGGGTAGAAAGTATTTATTTTGGGATACTGACTGTTCTTTGAAATAGAAAAATGTATTCCTTTCCCCCTTAAAACTGGCAAAAAAAAAAAAAAAAAAAAAAACCACCACCTACTTGCTGCTTTGATGAAACTTCTTTGAAACTGGTACATCATGAGTGGTCCTGGAAGCATTCTGGGATAAAAGGATATAAACCAGTCAGCTTAATAAAAACAAACAGACTCTAAATAACAGCGTAGACGCTGCCCAACTATATACAGACTAAGATCAAGGGACACAAGAGCAACTCAACTTAGTCCAACTGAGTTTCCCGTTTGAAAGGGTCCTGAGATTTCCCGCGACATTTTCATGCTCTTTCTTCTTTAAGGGAATGGATACAACTATGTTTCCTAGTTACAACTAGGAAAGTGCTAATGTGAAAGTCTAGCACAAACCAAGAGATTTCCTTTTCAGTCAGTGACTCACCCTTTGACAAGAGCATTTTAAGATGTGTCTGAGAAAAAGGCAACTAACTAAACATTTGTAATTACCTGTGCTTTAAACTCCTATCTTCCCAGCAGCTTGTTATCAGAATCAGTTCATCTGGAAACACTATGGGAGACTTCTGTGTTTTTGTGGCAAATTCACTAGCGAGTGTTGCTCCAGTTCTAGCCCAATGTTCAGGCTAGAATCCCTAACATTAAGCACGATATAATCAAATTTTATCTAGTTTTTAAAAAATATGTTTTATACTTAATGTTTGTTAGCTAATCAATATCAACATGCACAAATTAAGTGCTAAATACAAACCTCTGTGGTACGGTTTTGTGTAAACTGCAGTGATAGTATATGTGCTATGAAAGTTTAATCAATATGTTTAATGAGTGTGTTTAACTATAAACTTCAGCTTTTTTCTGACAGTCCAAATAATAACCTTCGCAACAGACTATAAATTATTCTTGGCTCAGGTTTTATTTTATTCTCATCAGAACCCCTAATTTAACTCTTGATCATCACTTGCATTACATCTTACTCTTCAAGATCCTTCTATCAATTCCCCAATAGCCAATAAAACCTGCATTACCAATTCTTTTTCTGGGGCTTTCTTCCTCCTTTGTTTTTGAGCCAAGTGAATCTTCACAAAACCTGAACAAATGCTTATGCAATTCATGAGTATAGCTTCCCTCCTGGTTTGAGACTGGACCCTCACCTACCCTTCAAGTTCAGGATAAGTTTCAGTCACTTCATGAAACTGATATGGAGGCAGCTAGAATCACCCATTCCCTAATAACCAAGGGAGGGACAGAAAATAGGAGTCATATCATGTACATTGTTACAAGAGAAAGAGTCTCTTCTCCAATAAAATAACATTTTCCTATATAAGCAGAAGGAGTAAAAAAGGACATCCAATAAATTCTCATATTTAAAGGACCAATATCAGCAATATAGTCTATGTGTGCAATGCACAAAATCATCAAAATACATAGGATATGTATGTAATCATGCATTTCAACAGAATGAGATACGTAGTTCCTTGTTTTCTTACTAGAGGATTTGGGGATTTAAGGAAATACTGTATTTAAGTTCTGTAAGGCTAATTATCATAGTAACTTCTCATAAAGAACAAAGCTTCTTGAATCACTCATGGCATCCCTGCAAATGGCAACCCATCAAGGATGGATGACTTAAAATTGGTTTGACCAGCTGAGCTAATTGCACCCACACATAAGCTGTTTCCATATCCAAACACCCACCCAACAGCTCTCTGGAGGCTGGAAATAAAACTGCTTTCTTCCTGATTGCATGGTAACAAGCTGGCACCCTGCCCTGCAAATGGAAAGTCCCTACCTTAGGTAGGTCTTCAAAGCACTAGTGATCGTCTTTATCTCCCATTCAGCACAGATATCGGTCTCTGTTTCAGAAGCTGTTTTGGGGTCTAAAAAGAAGAAAAGGCAATGTGTAAACAAGAGCAGAAAATACAGCTAAAAAAAAAAGCACAGTACATAAAAGCATTCAGCCTCTCTATTAACCAAAGAAATCCAAATTAAAACAAAAACAACACCCATTTTTTTGCTGGTTCAGTTAAGAATATGGTTAAAAATCAAAATATCTATTGCTGGCAAAAATGCAGTGAAATTGATCCTCTCCTAAACTGCTGGACACAGAAGAGATAAAATGCAACAGTTTTGAAAAGCAATTTGGCAATATGTATCAAGAGACATAAAAATGTTTATACCCTTTGAAGCAGTAATCCCACTTCTCACAATCTAGCCTCAGAAAATAAAATAAAGCAAGACAAAAGTTACATACCCCAGGAACGTTTAATACAGACTAATTCTTTGTAACAGCAGAAAAAATTTAAAAGGAGATAACCTAAATGTCCAATGATGGAAGAATGATTAATACTGGCATGGCTCCCTGATAGAAAATTGTATTGCATTTACATGATAATGCTGACTATGTAACAATATGGAAAATGCCTGGATTATCATGCAATGTCAAGCAAAAACACCCAAACAAACCAAGATTTGAAAGTTTGTGAGAAACTTGAACAAAGGCTGAAAGGAAATACTCTAAAATTAAAATAGTGGTTGTGTTAGAGGGGGAGAACTGTTGTTTCTATATTTTCTGAAATATGACTTGATTCCATTACTTTTATATGTACTTTGAAAAATTGCTTTAAGCCAAGAAGTGCAATGGGGACTGCCATAATTACGCTGGCTCCTTATCATTCCTTCTTTTGTCTCCTCTTGTGTGGACTTGTCAACAAATGTGTGCATTTTAAATACACATGTATTATAAAGGAAGAGATCACTCTGAGAGTTAGTCTTCCTGGGCAGCACACAGTCCCATCTCACCAATGACGAGGTGGTCAGAAGTGAAATCTTTCAGCACAGTGAAGACAGAATCCAGCTTTCTCACACGCAAGACTATAGTGATTTGCCTCCCAGCTCTTACTCCCATTTCTTTCTGTTACAGCACCTCATGTTCGGTAGGGCTGCCCCCTTCTCCCATTCCTATAGCACATGCTTGGAGGCAGGCTCCATGCTTCTAGGGTTGGGAAATGAGAGTCAGACAGACCAAATCAAAGCACAGCATCTCTCTGACTCCATGGCTGGTTCAGAGAGAATCCAAGACCTAAGCCAGTTGGATCAGAGGGAACTTCAGGACCTTTCTAGGAGACAGGGGAAAGGCTCTCTGCTATTTCCTTTTGGGTTTGTACCTGGAAGGTTATCCAACAGTCCTATGTGTCACCACCTAGAGCCCAAGAGTGAAGTCTGACAGACAAACACAGAGATGAGAGAAGCAGAGAGAGCTTGATGATATGGGTTGAGCCCTCGTATCTCGCCCTTCCTTTTTAATCATGCGAGCCAATAAATTCCCTTTGTCCTCAAGCAAGGTGAGGTCAGGTTTTCTGTTTTTTACAATCCAAAGAGAACTATATGATACAGCAGGTAAACAGAAACAACCACTGGACTCTTTCTGGATAGTCTCAAAGAAAAAAAGAGGTTCCTCCTACAGAGTCAACACCTTTTCAGCTGGAAAGGAAGAATGAGTCACAAGTGGGCACAATATATTTTCTATTTATTAGGAAAGAACCCACTTTCATTCAAGCAGGAAGAGTCCAAATAATCATGAGTGGATTAAGGATTTAGGCTCTAATCCCCAGGTAAGGGCACAAATGCAGTTGATACCTACTGCTCTCAGCATGTTCCCCGATACATTTAATTTTTTTTTAAGATTTATTTATTTATTTTAGGGGAGGGGCAAAGGGAGAAAGAAACTTAAGCAGACTCTGTGCTGAGCATGGAGCCTACACGGGCCTTGATCTCACAACCTGAGTTGAAACCAAGAGTTGGATGCTTAACCACTGCGCCACTCAGGCATCCCCCTGCCTGATACATACTAGATGAGCCAGAAAAGGCCCCAGCTCACAAAATGCTTGGTTCCTAAAGGCAGCACGTGTATGTGTTTGCAGGTGACGCTGGGCATGAATGAAATCTGTCTTGTCACATGAAACAAACAATGAACAACCTAAAGAGAGTGATTTTATTTCTAGGGTCACAGAATAGAGTTCCATCACAGCAAATTTCTGAAAAGTCAACCACACAGTGATTCTCCAAATGACCAAAACCTCTGCTGCTTTAATTCTTTTCTTGTTTTGTCATCTCTCATTCCCTTAATGGTTTCTTCCTACGGAAAAGTATGTACCAAAAAACTTTGCTTAGCATGACTTTTTCCCCTCCCCAACCCGAGACACATGGAGAGCTGCCATAGTGCATGGTTCCTGGATGCGAGACAACTGTTACTGTACATTTTTTTGAGGAACAAACCAAGTTCTACCCAAGAAAGAGTGAGCACGACACTAAACAAGCAGTTGGCAGGTCTGGGAGTTATGAACTGTTCCACGGACCACATTTAGCAAACTAATGATTAGCTTCCATTTATTCGGGCTCTGTAACCATAGGAATATTGTGTAACATTACCGAGAGGAGAGTCAGATTACAGCCCTGCTAAAGGGCTTTTTATAGTACCGATGAGGCAAGGCTCAGAACTTGAGCACGCCCATTTTAATTCGTTTAATATCCAAACTAAATTGAATACAGCCTCCCAAACCACCTAATTTTCAGAAAGTGCTGCCGATTTCCATACCTCCCTTACCGATGCTCCCCCTCACTTAGAGAAGCTTCCTGGTGGCACCCAAATATGATGCAAAGACATAATTACAATTATCCTCTGAACGCAGTACATTTCTCCCCACCAAGTCACCTGACCATTGCATTGCACTGTAAAACGGACCTAAGCTAGAGGATCAAGCCAACGTACAGAAAGGCAGCCTGTGGGTAAAGTGAAATGAATATATTTCTTCATGAATCTACTCCCACATGAGTTTGGAAAAATAGGAGACAGACTGGAAGCAGTGGTTACAAGGGGGAATAGTCTCAGAAATATCACAATGATCAGATGGATCAGCAAGATCCATCTAGTCCAGAACTGTGCTGCTGATGAAAACATGACAGACATTCTAGAGGAAATGATCAGGACGAGCCACCTACGTACTCCTAAATTTCCTAAGAATACATTATAATTGTATGCAAATTAATTTTTTCTCTTTAACTGAGAAAATAATATGTGCACATGGCAAAAAAAATATTAAAACAAAACAAGTAGATAAACATTAAAAGGTAAACCTTTCCTGTGCTAGAGGCAACTATTAATAACAGTTCTGTGTATGTGTATGCTATCTCTAACAGCGTATGCAAACCAAGCACATAAATACATACAGCTTTTGAAAAACAGAAACACAAGTACACTATACATGTCATTTGGTGCACTGCTATTTTCATTTAACAGTATCTTGAGAAAGTGTTCCACATGAGCACACATATTTATCTACCTCACAGTAGTACTTCACTGTACCATAATGTCCCCATTAGTGGAAATTAGGTTATTCCCTGAGTTTTGCTCTGATAAACAATGATATAAACTACTGTTTCCTTGTACATGTCTTACCTATAGAAAAAAATCCCTCAAAGTAAAATTCCTAGTTCAAAAAGTACACGCATTTTTAATTATGAAAGATATTCCTCAACTACCCCTCAGAGGTTGTACCATTACATTTGAGAGTGACTCTTTCCCCAAATCCTTGACAATTTTCAAAACTTTGATCTTAGCCAATCTGAGAGTTGAAAAAAAGTCCTGTTTTTAATCTGCCCTTTCTTTAATGAGGAGGAAGGTGGAGAATCCTCTCCTATGTGCCAAATTTATGAAGTATAATCACCCTTTTTAAGCATGTGTGCTTAAATTTTGGATTTTGGACAAATGTGCCAAGTCATATAACACCCATAGTCAAGATAAAAGTCATATCCATCACCACGAAAATCCCCCTGTGCCCCTGTACAATCAATCATCTCCTTCTACCTCCAGCCCCTGGCAACCACTGTCACAAAGCAAATACTTAGTTTGATCCTTTTATTACTGGACAGAATCAATTTTATGGATATCCCACAATTTGTCGAACCATTCATCAGGTGATGGACATGTGGGTTGTTTCCAATTTTTTACTGTTATGAATAAAGCTGGTATAAATATTTACATACACATTTTTATTTGGACTAAAGTTTCATCTCTTGGGTCACTTCCTAGGAGTGGAACTGGGTAAAAATATGTAGAATAGGTCACAGACTAAGTATGGTTAACTTTATGAGAAATTGCTAAATTGTTTTCCAAAACAGTTGGGTCATTTTGATTTCCCACAGCAACCTGAGAGCTCTAGTTGCTTCATATCTTCATCAACACATGATATGGTCAGGTGTCTAATTTTGAAATTTTAGCTGTTCCAGTAGACATGAAGAAATTTTTTCTAAAATTTGCTTTTCTTTAATGACTCATGATTTTGCTCATCTTTTCATGTACTTTTTGTCCATCTGTGTATCTTCTCTGGTAAACTATTCAAATCTTTTACCCATTTTAAAACTGAGTTGGTTTTGTTCTTATTACTGAATTACTTGGGTTATTTTTAATATATTCTGGATACAATTCATTCATTTATCAGATACATATCTTGCAAAAGATTTCTCATCGGCAGCTCTCAATTTCTTTTTCTTAGTAACTTTTAAAGAGTACAAGTTTTTTATTTGGATAAAGGTTAGTTTATCAGGTTTTTCTTTTATGTTTCCTCCTTTTTATAGTCTATTTAAGACATCTTTTCTAAATAAAGGTCACCAAAATTTTCTAAGTTTTCTTCTATAAGTTTTATAGTTTCAGCTCTTAGGTTTAGGAATATAATCCACTTTGAGTTAATTTTTAGATATAGTTTAAGATAAAGATGGAATTTTTCCCATATAGATGTCCAACTGTACATCTGTTGAAACGACTGTCCTTTCCCTCACAGACCTATGGTGACACTTTTATCAAAGATTAACTGACCATATA